TACACACACTTCTGTAGCGCCATCTAGCCTATGGACAATACCCAGCTACAGAGTGTTTATTATTTCAGTGCACAGTCGCCGTGCTCTTGGTTCAAAAAACCGAGGACTGGGTCGAAGTGCTTCCTCAAGTGCACGTGAATCCCTTTATTCTGAGAGTTGTGATTTTTGTGGAAAAACTAACCACACGGAAGACAGATGTTTTGCTTTGCAGACAATTTTACGTAGATATTGTAATATTAAAATCTTAGATGATAAGCAGTCTAAATCCTACGGTAACTCTGTTTAATCGTGGCGGGGTTGGCGAGAGATGCCAGTCACCAATCCGAAAAATAAATTCGAATGTAAATGTAGAATCGGGTAAACAGTCTATAATTGTAAATTAAATTATAAAAGTCTATACTTGAAACCCTTGGCAACTAACGCATCTATAGAATATCATGAGAAAGACTTTTCTAAGTACAAAATACTTTTCTAAGTCTTTTTTTTTAATGTTTTTATCAAGTATGAAAAAATTTGTACACTCGCTATACCGACAAATTAATTGATCGGAGGCAATTTCCGCTTAAATGTTTTTATACACAGTGGTGCATGTCCTTATTTTATTCCGCCCTCTTTTTGGCAAATTATTGTCAACGTCATGTTTGCGAGTACATTAATCAGAGATTTGAATGTTATAGTGAGTGCGTAATGATATTCCTGATAGAACTAAAATTAACATTGACATCGTCGACGACGACTATCACATACTTTCGTGATATAATACATTAGCGGTATTGCCATTAAATATATTGCTAGGGCATGATTTTCTCCCTAAATATTCGCTAAATTATTACCTGCTGAATTCACTCCTGTGATAGGTTTAGGTGAGGTTTTTGATGCTTCACCCAATGGCTGGATTCTTGTTGATGAAATTCTTGGTCATACTTGTTGTAGCATTAACGCGACCAAATGCACGAGAAAGAATTCTCATTCTACTAGTTAGAATATGAAGTTTTCAGATTTTTGCTCATAAGTAAGCTTCAGGACATCTTGGTGTTAAGACGACTCTTTCACGAGCCATGAAACCCCATTATTGGCATTCATATTCACGCGATTTTGAAATCCAATTCTCGTGATGAATATACATACAATGACTGACAATTTGAGTGAATATTTACAATGTGTAATAATATCAAATCTAAACCTGAATTGAAACGGAGTGAAATTGTATTAACAAAAACTATGCATTCTGATCTAGGTTAGCACTTGTGGTCAAACTTGTGGTACACGTGGGATACGTGGTACAAGTGGGGCACATGGTACAAGTGGGACATGTGGTACAAGTGTGGACAACGTGGGACATGCGGTACAAGTGGGACACGGGGTACAAGTGGATTACGGGGTACAGGTGGGACACGTAGTACAAGTGGGACCCGATATCTTGGAGACACCGGCCCGCAAGGCGGCAATTCTTATGGCAATATTCTGGTTAAATTGATATTGCAATATATGTCATGTCTAGAAAAGATTACTTTGTTTTATGGCGCGGAAGCGTCTTGAGAAATTTCGCAAATTAAATGGAAAAGCAGTATAATAAAGCATCTATTTTATAATTATTTTAAGGTGAATGATTTGGTAACACTTTATACTCCTTTTACTTATTGATGTGGTGAAACTATCAAAATTGCTTATTCTTAGAATGGCCCTTACAAAATTATAAGAGGTCTAGAAAATCAGAGTTCTTATTTGACCGTGTTGGTGCAAATATTAGGAAATCCTATCCTAGTTCTATCAATTTTATTACACTCAAACCTTTTTTATGAGACGTGATTCATTGGTGTATCCGATATCACAAGCATACAAATGCATCTTTCCGAACCGTATGTTTCGATCAATATCTCGTGTTTCCATGTTACTTACATATTTTGAATTGCATTAATTTTGTTTAGTAATTTATTTTCATCGGTGCGTCGATATTTTCATACGTGCGAATTTATTTTTAATTGTTTTCCCATAATTCAATTTATTTTATATTATTACATTACTTATTGTATTTTTCAATGTTATTGTTTTCTTTAATTGCGATAATCTTATTATTATCGTATTTTATTGTCTGATGTATAATACTATTTTCTCAAGTACAAACACCCACGTCTTGTCCAGATGCTTCCACAAATGCAGATGTCATTTTTTATTTTTCTAACAAATGCGTTGAATTCGCGTGTACCTATATTTGGCGTGGAAGGAATTGATACAAAGAAGGGAGGTGTTACGTAACACGTGTGTCTTACGTTATTCCCGTATACGTTATTTCTCTCGTTCTTACGCAAGATGTTTTTACGTTGTAATTCAGTCACGTTATTACGTATTTGAGTCTTATTTGCTCTTGTTTATGCATCATATTCATTGCGTATTACGGTATACATTGCTTCGCTTACATTACACTTGCATTTGAGTATCTGTTCATTCGAGTTTATATTATTATGAGTTTGGACCTCCTGAAGTATGCGCACCAAGATGGCGCACAACCTGAACTCAGGTTGTGTACCAGGTTAGGGTTCAGGTTATGCGACATTTTGGTGCGCATACTTCAGGAGTACCATGAGTTTACTTGTATATGTGTTAATTGAATGTACATTGAAATCTCGTGGTAAATACCATGCTTCGAAGAGTACAGTAATAAAATTCTCGATTAACATATCCCGTTTTTCCTCTAGGATCAGTCAGCGTGATAAATACCCAACAATATTGGTGATGATGGTTTCAAGGTAAGGCCTATATCAAGAGAAACCAAACGTTGAATTTATGTCACATAGCCGTATATCAAATTTTACACGTTTTTGTTTTATAGTAAAAAGACTCAAATTTAATACACTCTGGGTGGAGTGTGGGCATGGGATTTGGACCCGAAATGCCTAATCTGCGATGTCAACAAACCTCTAACGCTATTGGGATAAACTACGAGATATTCCCAAATGAGATTTTGACGAAGCAGGAAAAATGTGATGTCTACGTAATGTAAAGATTTCTTCGTCTCCTACTATTATAATAACTTTGAGAATATTTGGGCATGGGAAGCTGTGTTAACTTCCTGAACGAATGCGACATTGAGCTACCAGGTGAACCCATAATGATGATGATCATAAATCCTAGACAAAGGGGCTTTCAAGCAGAAAACTAACACACATGATCATAGCCTGTTGAGCTGTATAGCTAAGAGATAAATGAAAGATAGAAGATAATTCAACATAAAAGCGTGCTCCAAAAATACGCTTTCGGTCGCAGGTTCCAATTTTAGCACAATGGAATATAGAATTTATTAATTGCTCATACAGACCATACACGCTACAAAGCGCAACTTAAGTTTCGGTCTTGAATCTCAAACGAAATTGCATTGAATTGATTATTTCAAACTTTTTGAGTCATCTTTTGATTTATTATTTCATATTTATTTTTTACAATAAATCATTTTTTACAATAAATATGTGGTGTAAGTGTAAAGTATAAATTACAGAGAGAAAACCTCTGCTCAGTCATATATCCCCTAATTACTATGACATCGCAACGCGAAATTCTGAGGAATTTAAAAAAATGAGGATTTGAGTCAAGATGACATCAGAATTATAGAAATAATAACATGAAATGCATCGGCTTATTTTATTTTAAAATATATATAATTGGATACTTCTATGCTCTCATGAAATGTTTTTTTTATTTTGATCTTCCAACTTAAAATTTTATTTGTATATTGTGAGTTGTCATATTACAGCATAATCTTCATGTCCTAGAGGTCACAAAAACTCGAAGCAACGTGTTTGGGCTATTAAGGTAAACTATTAATCAATCTGAAGACCAATTAAAATAACGCAAACCTGACGCACATGAGAGACGTAAAGTCTCCGAGATATGCGCAAGACTATGTCGAAAGAAAATTTTGAAATAATTGTTAGGCATTGGTAAATCAATTGTTTTCATCTTGTGCCAAAATCGACTACGTATTTAAACACATTGTCACGAGTTATTCCGCAGTGTTGTGATTGAAACCGACAGAATACAGTATGAAGTATGAAACGCAATATCATCTTCTGCTAATATATATATACTAGATATTGTAACACTTATAGTATAAAGGCCTAGTTAGGTATTTTATATACTTGATACAAAATGCAAGCGTGTCAGTACACTGGAGTATTTAATTCAGAAATGAACAAGATAATTTCCAAAATGTAGAAAAGGAATAACAAAAATTTCCGCTATTAAGTTGGTTGTTGCTGGACTAAATACTAATCCTACTTCTATGCTTTTGTGCCGGTAAATACGTATGCATTTTGTTGCAGAAAATTCTATTTGAATTTTGAGGTAAGTTTACGCCTGTCTTTTGCTGGAGCATCAAATAATTTAAGATAAGATTTGGAAACAGGAGATTTCGATTTTCATATTTAGGTTATCAACTTATGTCTTCTTATACCAAATTAAATCCATAAAGTCAAGAAAGAAATATTACTTTGCTTTTTTGGTAATATTAAAATGTGACGATAAGTATATTTTGAATATATACAGGTGACAATTAAAAATTAGCTACATTTACGTTCCGATGAATAGATCAAAAGCTGATTAATTTCCTGAAGAATCATATTCTTGAAATCATCAATATTGCAATACAGAACGGTTTATAGCTAGAAATTGCCAGTAATAATTGCTTCATTATAAATTCAAATTACGATTGCAAGGCATGCTCTGCTTTCTTAGAAAAATAGCACGCGCGTTGTAGCATTCGCTATACAAGTTGGCTAAAAGTCGTGTGCAATATAACACATTCCGGATATTTTTCTAAAAAACTATTTATAGCATTTGTGTATTGCAAAAAGAAATTGATCTGTGGTAACTTGTATGTCATGCTGTATGTTAGAATGCCAGTCTGGCACGACTGGATTTCCACGATTGAACAGTTTAGAGTAGCTGTTACAGTAGACAGAAAGGCCCGCATTTTTGCATATATATCCGGTAACAGTCGGGACAAGTTGATTCGTAGCCATGTTAGCATTTACCTTCGGGCTAGTTTGTTCATTATTCCGTAGAATTAACAAGATTTTATTACAGTTACAGGCTACAGATTTGTAATTATAATTTTACGAAAATGTATGGTTCGCTGTTGACGGAAGACACATACAAACGAGCGGATTCAATTTTCAAATCAATTGCAGATGAATATAATCCCTCGCTGAAGGAGTTTGTATTGAACGGAAAAATTCACGACAAAAATGTCTTAGAAACTAGTAAATCTTTCAAAGCTTGTCATGCGGCTACTATAAAAATTGGTATTTCTGCCACATCAAGTCCTGGATGTAAAGATGTAGGTAAATGCATCATGGATATAACTGAAACAATTCAAGAAGTTCACATGGCGAAAGAAGCATGTATACAAAAGTTTCGGAACGATATTGTATATCCATTCGAACGCAGATGTGAACAAGATGCGAAATATATTATAGGATTACGTAAGAAATTACAAGATGACTTCAAAGCGAAAGCAAGTGAGACAGAAAAAGCCTTTGCAAGTCTTGCAAAGCTCAAGAAAAAAACTCTATCCAAACCTCCATCTAAGAAAACAGATGAGAAGATCAAAAAGGGAACTGAACATTTGCTAGCAGCAAAGACTGCTTCTGAAATGGTTGCTCATGAAATGCTTAATCGGGCATTTTCGGAAGAACGAAAGCGTTATTGCTTTTTTGTAGAAAAACAATGTGAACTTATTGAGGCTATAATGGATTACCATCGAAAATCAGCTGATATGTTACAAGAACGTTTCGATCACTGGAGAGAAATTGGAGCCTCACAACAGGATCTTTTACCAGGAGCAGTCGCTCTTATTGAAAGTAGCCTTCCTCGTCACACAAACGTATCGTTGGATGAGCTGGACTTGAACATGGGTATATCACATAGTCAATCAAGCAACGATCTAAGCAATAATAAAGATAACTACGGAACTAGCCATAGACAAAGTTCAAGAAACATTCGAGGACCAGGGGTAAGAAGAAACGCGAGTACCAGGGTCACTAGTTCTCCAAAAGAAGTTGAAGTATACATACCATACAAGAATGCATTGGTGAGCACGGTTGTTGCAGAAGACGAATCCGAAGAAAATCACGAAGACGAACAACACACTCTGTTTTCGGACGAATCGATCGACGGAAGATCCTCCGCTTGCAGTTCGTACTCGAAATCTATGTATCGAAGATCAGGCGAATCGGAAATATCCATTAATAGCGTTCCCTCCGTAACAGACAAAAATGAGACCAGAAAATCTTGGAATGATTCAGGAATAAGTATTGGAGAAATTTGGAATTCTGATCAACAAGAAAGTCATACAATAAAAAGGGCAAAAAGCAAATCCGCAACGGACACTGATGATGAAAGTTCTATAAGCGTCGCATCTACAGTCTCATTAGAGGATAAACGAAATACGCCAAAAGAACAACAGCCAAGTATTTTTGAAGCATTGCACGACTATGCCCCAGAAACTGGAAGCACAAAAATGATTCTTCGTCGGGGAGATAGAATTTCTGTGCATAATTCAAAAGAAAATGGGGGTTGGATGTACGGAATAAACAAAAGAACAAATCAAAAAGGGTGGTTTCCAGTCACGTATGCAAAAAAGATGGAATCGCATGAGACGATATCTACTTCGGCTGCGCTGGAAAGTCCAAATGCTATCCCAACTACCCCAGCGAAATTTGATCCAAACAAAATACGAGGTATTGCCGTTCCTATCCCGGTTTTGAACAAGCCACTCACAAAAGTAAATTATAACAACAACTTGCGGTCTCCAAAAAACTCTTTCGGGCAGACATCTAGATCACCAAATGAACAAAGGAATGAAATCGGCAAAACAACAGATGGACGAAACGTATTTCAGTTTACAAATAACAACACTTTTGAGAATATTCATTTTCGCAAAGGTAATGGATCACCTTTGCACTGATGTATTCACGCATTACGTATTGTATTCAATCAACCAAACTTGTAATAAAACATTCCGACTGCAGTGATCATGAACGTTGCAACCTTTTTATAAATTGCACTTTATTTAGCTGAAATGTAATACGAAGTATCTTTTATTCTTGAAATCATAGATTACATGTGCATGTAGTCCGCCATGTACAGAGATTAAGCGGATGTTTGGTAAATTTTTGATGATCACGTAATATCGAATCATTGACTGTTTTTTGTGGTGGAGTCGGAGTTGAACAAACCAGATAATATGAAGATTGACATTTGACATCATCCTTGGCACAATGTATGCTATCATCTGTCTGTTTTCAAAACTTTAGTTTTATCAATCTATTGTTATGTTTACATTTTAAATACGTACTTTCTGAAAAATGCAATAATAACATGTATTTGCACAAAGCCGAATTTTGCATGCAGTACAGATACAAGTATGGGATGTTCTATTTACAATGATATATCAGATCCAGTCAAAAATGGGCAATCTTGTGTAGCTGCTTCCCGTAATCCTCATCAGAACTCAAGAAACGAGGATGGGCAATCCGTCACGTTAGAAAACATATTTTTTAAACCCGAACAATCTATAAACTATACTCAGACCGTCTTGATATCGAAAGTATTTATTATAGCAGACTGCAAAGAGAGGCACAATATTCTGCTATGCCAAACTTTTATAGTTTCTTTTGTTTGGGCTTTCGTGATCCCGTTTGGTCGGTCGCGATGTACGCTCTGGCAAATTAGATCACCACTTGAATTTAAAGAAAAGCGAATAAATTTGATTTTGATGCAAGGCGATGTATAAGCAACGATGTGGATGTTTGCTGCCCCCAGTACAAGAAACGACACATCAGAATGTTGGAATATTCCGGTCCAAATGGTAGTGAAACCATTGACATATAAAAACAGCTATTGGTTCTAGCGTTCTAGTAATACTGAAAACACATTTTCAAGTTTCGAAAAGTATGAAATGAACTTCATTTCTCTATCAAAGTTAACTCATTTATATTCCGCATTATGTTATTCGAGACGATTAGGTGTGAAACAAATAAAATTTCGAACGCGCTTGGCTGTATCGTGTTTTGGTTCTGTTGAATCTTGAACAGGGTGACAATATCAATCATCGCATATCCACGACTTTTTTCATGTGCTCTTTCAAACATTCGGGCACAGCTTTTTCCAAATGCGCTTCTAGGCATTTTTGCGTCGACTCAAACAGAATATTTGGCACATACATTAGAATACAGATAGTCGTTGACCCTTCCGAGTTGAATGCGTTATCAATTCACACCTATTCGGCTTGAACTGCCAAGATGGTGACGCGATTTCCTTAACAATGCATGTGATTTGATTTGCGTCGGTGTAACGTACACATGTTTGCGTTGATGGTATCTATTGCAGGATCAATCAGGATAATGTTAAATACAAACGAATTTCGTGCGCGTTGACATCACGTACTGCATGGTAGTGCACCAATGTCGTATGCATTTGTCAATAACTCAAACATGATTTTGCAAATTCGCGTACACACGTCAAAGTGTTATTAATATTTATGTTCATTTCTTGCAAGATGACGCAACCACATTGTATCGAGCTACGAAATTGACAATTGCGTAATATTTAAATACATAATAGTACCAATTGATCATTTCGAAATTCGATTAGACAAATCATTGCGAAAATCTCAAAGCTTCTATCGCAAGCAATGGCATACGTATACACAATTCAGGTAGTATTTAGACACAATCGAGATAGTGGCACGATAAGTCCTATTCGAAATCGGGAATCAAAATGTTTTCATCATTTGTGCGAAGCGCGTATAATCGGTATACATCCAACTGAGGGCTTCAGCCCCAATTTCCAGATAATTTCATATCACATTATCGTGGAGGGAAAAACACCACCTGTTTGTAATTGAGAATCTTCCGAAGAGGCTCGTGGTAAAATGCGTAACAGCCTGACAAGTGACAATACCCAGTAATTCGTCCAAAATGTATATCAAAACAACTATTGTTACTGTGATGTGTATTTACAATTATTGAAACAAGCGTTAATGAAGAAACAAGGACATAAATCATACAATTTAAATCAGCGGGCGTTCAGAAAGCACCACATCAATCAGTACAAAGTCCAACCATATTGAAAACGACAAACGAAGTTTCCTCGCGATATTGATTGGGACATTTGTTGGCATTCATTTGAATTTTATTAGAGAAATATTAATACATGCAAAATTAGTGAAATTTAGAATACGAAAGTAAAAATCTTTAACATTTATTTCGTCAGTAATTTACAGCTCGCGTGTGAGAACAAAAAATGATGAGCAATGACGGCCGTAGTAAAGTACAAATTTTGTGAAATAATGACAAGTTGGCAGTGTATTTCACAAGTTACTTTTTCTGTTTTTTTAAAGCATTCAATATAGGCATACATGTACGGGCAGAAATAGAAGTCATTAGTTGGATCAATAAACACAGAAACACTAAACGGCATTTTTTATTTTAAAACTTGGCAAACGATTAGGGAAGCTCATCCAGAAGTATTGATCTTAGAATTCAAGAAACTTTCAATATCATCCACAATCAGGTGAATCAGGCGTTGTAAACTTTAATTTGATTACAGCCGTTGAAAATACCAAGAAATATTTAACATTATTCTAATGGTGCGTGGCAGACAGGCGGATTACGAAATCTTGATTACTGTCAATGTGAATGTTAAACACGGGACGAAACTTGATACCGACGTGATATACAAAGTAGATATTTACTAATGGGTTTTTCCAACACAAAGTCTAAACGTGAAGACAAAAATAGTCAAGAAGTCGGGTCATTATAGGTTAATTGGGAATAATAACAGGTTATGAGAAAGCAGTCGTCTCGCCAATCATCGACACTAATTAGTATTGTAAGAATCATGCCATGATCTGCGCATAAATATCAAAGGGCAATTAGAATACACTTGGCAAGCAACTAGAAGCGTCTATATCTAAAACAAAAAAAATCATACAAAGTCTATGGATTCTTAGCTTTGTAAGTCACTGACAGAAAGCACCTCCAAAAGCAGTCTTATCTATGGGTCATGCTGGGCAGTTTAAACCATATTTTCATATTCGGAAAGGATATATTTTAAAAATCAAACAGGATTAAAAAAAAGTTTTGTATTAGAAAAATTTATCATTTTTGTTAATGAAGCATGATTTAGTCAGTAAAATTGGTATTCAACAAGATTTTTCTGTAATATACACCCATGCAAAAATATTCAAATCATATTCAAGGTAAATTCTAGAATACATTTTTTCAAATATGTTTACCCCCAATGTTAGTCGAAAAAGAATCCATAAAGTAATTACTAAACACAAGGCAACGACGACATTGCAAGATCAAAGCTCAAATTTCTGGGCACAATGGTCAATAACTTATAGCAGTAAATCCGCAGTCAGCCCATGGGACCTACACATAAACATGTTACCTGATCATTCAAATGCTTCTTTTTCCGAAAATCAGATTAATAGGTATTCTTTATTTCTTTTTCATACCTCTTTCTGATAGAATATTCTTTATTTTTACATCTCTATCACTGATTTCTATCAATTTGAATACTATTATTATAGGCGTTTTCTCTCAGCAGAAGTTAGAAAGCACCTAATTTGAAAATAGTTATTAGGTATATCATAAATTTACGATTAAATCATTTGTGAGACACCATTTTGTATTCTTCAAGTGGTGCCAATTTCATTTGCTTTGCATTCATAGGTCCCAAGTAACAATGCGGATTGATATCAGATGTAGATTTCGTGGATCTTAGAGCCGGCCGACCTTTTGCTGGAATAATAAGAATATTATGTTGATTATTGATAACGTTCTGGAGGTCAACCCCGTGTATTTCAGTTTAGGACAACATAATGAAATTGGGTACACAGTTAGAAGCTAAAAAAAATACCATCTTTTTTAGAAAGGTAGTAGCAATGTTGCTAGTACATGCCTCCAAAATATACAAAAAAATGTATGAATTTAGCTGGAACTTTGAAGACAGAATTTTCTAACTGACTGACTGACATTATTATTAATGAATATTATTTCAAAAATATTATAAAATTGAATCTTTGTGAAAAAGTCAATGCCCTACCCAGGGGCGCAGCCAAGGGGGGATTCTAATTCAAAATTTCCCATGCCACTGCTTCTGAAATAGTCGCCGCGATAACACGCTTGTTACTGCTTGTCTGACACTTGCACTACTTGGAAGGCCCTTGTCTTTTTTTTCGAATATTAAAAATGCCAACTTTTTTAGGTCATGATTTTTCTGTCATGTAAAATATTCAATAAATGACATTCTCCCTCTCACCCTCGCTGCGCCACTGAGCAACCCAACAGCAGCCCTACGGATGAGGTCACAGAAAAGTCGATTGAGAACCAATGATGACCCATCGGTTTAACCCATTACACAAACTATAAATAGATCACAAATGGGTAATGAATTGAAAATGTCAATAATCGCTCAACCAACTGCAGTAGACTCTATTGAAATTCTTCCAACCTAATTAGTATTTGATGTCAATTACAATAAAGCATTCAACCATCCAAAGTCACAAAGTCCGTCTATAATCAGTTTGAATTATTCAAGCGGGAACGGGAAAGGGGGAGAGGCTATAACATATAAACAAAATATGGATTTTTTTGTCAATTCGGGAAGAGAAAAGACATTTGTCTATTAGAATCCCATACAAAACCAAACAACCAAGAAAACAAAACAGCTAAAACTGTGCTAAATTATTCAACCATTGGGCTGTCTTAATTAGGCACACATCCCAACCCATCATTGATCGAAAATAATCACACTAGGCTTCAAATTATTCCTTCATGCAAAATTAAATAAACAGATCAGTTACGCATTTCATTTCTTTGGCTATACTCCAAAAAAATCTATAGTGAATAATACACAAGCATGCAACACATAATATACTTACATTTAAATGACATTCTTGTTAATGTTCTGCGCAGCATTCTTTTCGTGTTGGAAGTTTGTGAGTGTGAGTGAGTAGTAATCTTGAGTCAAGTAATGCATGTTAGTGCAACATCATACATATATGATGGTGGATATATGTCATTTAATGTTAATATATGGGGATGTGCAAGATAAAGACAATTCAAGAATTTTATATAATTAAAAGTCTTGAAACAAATAGCCCAATGTAGAAATAAACATGAGTGCCATTAAAAATATTCCAACCAAAATTAGGTAAGATTTTCCAAATGGATTCACATGTGGACACCCCTGATAATACAGGAATTCAAGTGTAACATTAATACTAGAGTAGCTTCTATCACATTGAAATCACAGTAATACAGGTGGTGATATTTTTCTGTGCAATAATAGCTGAGTGAGTATGTTGTTATATATTAACATATTCATGCTTGTTGCAAATATTCCAAGCTGAGATTAAATGTTTAAGCTACTTGGTTCTGAAACGTTTACTTTAGCTATATTGGCATGTTAGAAAAGTGTAAACAAGAGTGGTCATTAGGGATTACATGCCTTGAATGACAACCACCGCAAATTCCCAATGTAGTAAAAATATACCAAAAAGGCAAAATTATAATTTCTATTTTTAGGATATGAGAGGTAGTGTAGCTTGGACATTTAGGCTTGGAGGCTTTAATTAAGGCATAAATGACTATCCAGCAAGCTGAGGTATCTGAAATCTATTTCATCATACCGAAAGTTTTGTAAGTTTTTAAAATAGCAATGACAATTAATAATCTCCAGGTTGCCGGTTCTTTTCTACCCTCAAATGAAAATTTCACCGAATACTTGCCAGGTCTATTGATGTACTATACTTAGTTGATAATGTACATGATTTAATTACATTGAAATTAGATATAACTATACATTTTTCACAATTTCAATGTTTGGAATTATTCTGCTATAGCTCAGATTTTGGCAGCGTCTCATGATGTACTGATTTTAATTTTTTTGCACATAATGATAATAAGCATTTCATACTTTAATTGCATACTCTACGAATTCATAAACATTCTTTACTCTACAAATAATATTTGCTTACACAGATGACAGCCCAAACCAACCATAATTAGTTTGCTAAGAGGCGAAAATTTTCAGTTGCAGAACTGCTAACGATGATTTTTGCCAATTAAAACATATTCCATGTTTCTAATTATTTAATGATAATTAGAAACTTACAGTTTGTGTTTGATTCTGATTCGCTTCACATTTTTCACCAATTGGAGCATATTTCTTTCTCTCCTCTCTCCATAGTCTACTGAAATATAAGATATTATATATCACCAGGCCTTAACTGAAAAGGAGAAAGGGTAAATAGAAAGTATCAAGCAACCACCAACATGCTGCGAGCAACATATAGAATAATTTCTGCAGTGGAGGTGTCAAGAAATATAGCGTATTGACTGTAAAAATATCTACACAAAAAATAATCTTATGTGTTACTTTTTGATTAGTAATTTCGTTGACAACAGGGGACATCTCAACCACTTTTCTTCGGAATTTAAGTCCTGTGTGTTGGCTCAGTGTATTATGATTTTCTTGCACCCCGACATAGTTTTCACAGAAAACATTTCACAGAAAAGTTTCACATTCAGAAATAAAAACAATGAAAAATATAGACTGCAATAGAGCAAACAAAATTGCAGATTTGCAGTTGGTGTTTTAGGAATAGTGATGGAACCTAGCGTTTATTAAAGCATTATACATAACAGACATCAAAGGAACAATGGTTCAATGAGCAATTTCATGCCCTCATCTCATCCAAGCTGTAATAAACTGGGTAGGCAATGCCAAAACAAAGAATCCCTCTAAATCAAGGTTTCCCAAAGTGGGGTCCGCTGGGGGTCCGTGAAGACTGCATAGGGTGTCTGCAACGATATGAAAAGAGTCAAATCGATCTTTAATGATCGATTTCGATCATAAACCAATTGTATTTTTTTAGTTTAACGTAGTGTATGAACAGTATGGATATCAATTGCTATCAGAAAAGGCAATTAAAATTCCATTGCTTTTTGCAATGACCTACAAGTGAGAGGTAGCATTTTCAGCTCTATTGATATGATAACAAAATACAGATTGAGACTTGCTGTAGAGTCGGACCTACGAGTTTGCTTGTCACAATTTGCTCCGAGAATTGCGCAGTGGAAAGCAATCTCATCCATCAAATTAATGTCGCAATGTGTTGTAAATGAAACTTTATCCTTCGTCGTTGGTTAAGCACAGAAATTGATACGACATAGGATAGGTCCGCAAAAAATAAGATTCACAAGCAGGGGTCCGCGGCCCAAAAAGTTTTGGAGGGTCTGCTCTGAATAATATTAGCTCCTTACATATAGCGAGACATCGTGTGGTTGCTTGTACAGGACCTTGTTCGAAGTGAGAGGTGTATATAAAATATTATCAGAATATTTCAACGGAAGGTGTGATTAGACATGACCCTGGCCTGACCATATTCAAACTCAGACATAATGAGTAAAACATGAATACCTTTTCATTTTCAAACAAAGAGGGGAACGTTCATATTCTGCATCAATCCTATCAATTGCTTCCATCATTTTACTACTGTTGGCTTTCAGATGTTGAATTCCACATGAAACCAATTCCAGATGGTGTGAAAAATCATCGGCAGATCTCTTTCTAAAATGGTCGACAATTGAGACATGATGGAAAGTCAATAATTGTATACTGCTTGATTGGAATTCAATACACATAATAGGGAGGATTAAAATCAGCAAGCCATAATTAATTCAATAGATGGTGAATGAATTCAAAAATCAAGTCTTTCTCAGGTGCTATTTATGAAAAGCCATAATTATGTACCTATTGTAAATAAAATCACTTCTTACTTTGCTTTTTGTGCAGATATCCGAGGCGACCTTCTAATACTTTTATTATTTGGTGTGTTCCTGAAAATTAGAAAACTTTATTATTTGTTATCTGATGATCACTAGACTTCAACTAAATTATATACAAAAAGTCTCCCAAAATAACTGTACAGAATCTGTTAGATGAAATTATTAACAGATCAGATTAGTTTCACAGAAGACAAATTAAGAAAACCATTCTCATACCTGATATATCTTTTCAATTTCTCAACTTGGCCAATTGGAGTGGTACATACTGGCCCATTTGGACTATCAAACGGATTATAAGGAGTTCCAGGAGTGTCAGGAGGTGATCTTAACCTTTCTCGATATCTTGTTCTCGGAGTCGACTTCTGCGGAGTCTCTTTAAGTTGTGACTTCTTGGCATTCCCAGTGAATTGCTTAAAAGGAACAAAGTTAAATATGAAAAATGTACAAGCCTGTATAATAAATACACAATATATATACAAATACAATATATAACGTTATAGGCAAACGACTCACCGTATATTGATATTGAAAAAACTATGTTCATTCCCACTTATTCAACATTCAGTCATATTATGTAATTTAGGTTGGGACTACACTACACAGGGATCCCGACAAAAATACGATAAATCCAAAGAAATATTGAATATAAAATCTACTCTGAGTCATGATCAACTACTTTGAATTTGAGAATGCAGGAAAGTTGAGAATTGAGATAATTAATGATAAGATTGGTTTTCTATTTTTGTGAGATTTTGATTACTAAAAATGGTAATGCTAAATCAAACTATTCAAAATTAATCTTAAAATCAAAAATTCAAATGTGAAAAAATTAATTTTGAATTGTTCAATATAATATGGCTGATTGATCAGGAAGGTCATATTATCAGAGAATTATAGTTGATCAGATTTTTCTCCTATAGCAATAAAATGTGAGAACTTCATATTGTTTTGATCTGAAACATACATATACCACATTGAAACATATCTGTTTTTATATATCAATTCCCATATAGAGAAGTGGTCGGCAACCTTTTTTCAGTGACGGACCCGTAAAATCTGACCAAAATTTTGGCGGACCACCTTCATACAAATTACAGACAAACTGATCTAATGTAATAATTTATATGCGCTAGAAAAATTATGTTGACAATACATTCAAAGAAAAAGGTATAACCTGCTTCTTACGTTCGCCCTACTTCAATATTTCATTTTTGTAGTTGTCAATTTTGAAAACTGACCTCACATACTAGTTACATTCCTTGTAGGGAATTTTACGTTTTTTCGTCACCTTTCTGCGGACCGGTAGTAATCTTTCCGCGGACCGGCAATGGGTCGCGGTCCAGTGGTTGCCGACCACTGATTCAGAGTATTACAAGTTTTCTTATTAAATATCAGCTTTATTAACAAATCCAAGTTACACAAGACATAAATGCTAATAAATACTAAAAACAATGTGCATTGGTTTGGTTTACTCTTTATTTTATTATTAATTATTTTATATTACCTCTGCCACTCTATAAAATGTTTTCTTTACTGAGGTTTCAATAGCAACTCCTCTAATTTTGTTTTCATTCCCATAACTGAGTACATCTGTGTCTTTTCTCTTTAAATTTTGTACTTTGTTTTTCTTTGCTTCACTTTCATAATATTCGGATGAAGCATTGTTAATATTAATTCTTTTCAGCGGCATTCTCTTTCTGAGTGACATCCTCAATGAATTAACAGTAAACTTTTGTTTAAACTTGTCTGGTAAAGGGGATTGTGCTGCAATATTTTCATCATTCTCTGATACAGAATTATAATTTGCTGCCCGAACAACATTCCAAACAGAACTCATGGTAAACTTAAATGCTTATCGACTAGTGAATAACAAGCTTCAGAGCTTTACCTGCAGAAGTATAAAATTGTGTTATTCATAGGATTTTTTTCAACTGGTTGATAAATAATAGACTACCTTAGTCAATAAAATAAATTTGGCCCAGTGGTAGCCTATGGCACATCGTCCTAAGTGTTAGAGATACGCTTGCCGCCACACCTTTGATAATCTGTGGATATTTATGTCAGTATGTAAAAGAAGATTGCGTGACTCCTCGTTATCGTAGAGCATAGGGTACCTAGTTCACATAATCGCCAGTCAGGTATGTGCTTCACGGCCTCCTCCACCATCCATCTGGAATGAATAATTGGTCAACTAGCCTATTCCTGTATTTGTATGCAGCATGGACGTAACCGCACAGGACAGACAAGAGGCATCTTTCCTTTTCCTCTTGATAAATATGTGAATGCAATCCGAAAATAAATTTTCAGAAAAACAGTGGGTATTCTGGAGAATACTGAAATGTTTGAACCTTTACCCAGCATTGAATATTATAGTTTCTCCCACTTCTGCACTTTCAGTCGTTTCAGACTTTACACAAAAATTTACTGACCAAGGTCCGACGAGATGTTACAGAAATATGGCTTGTGTTAGGACTGGAACTGTATTTCTATATTGGATAATTTCTTAAATAGCATATATCAGTACGTAAGGCTGGAACAGCAGAGACACGGTACCAGGGACATTGCAACTTGCCGGTCGAGAGTCGAGTCGTTATCCATACCACCGTACTACCCGCAGAGGAAATTATTAATGAACCATTTCAAATTTCGCTCCAATTTATTGACAACGCAACAGTGCGCTCTAGTGGTTAGAAAATGATGACAAATAGGAAAGCTAGGGATGGACCATTCCCCGAGCGTCGACTTCCTTGTTTACTTAGACTTGGCTAAAATACTTTATCGGTACTTTCAAAAAACAGATTGTTGTATGCGATGATTCATAATGATGGTTTAAAACACATACCCCATTTTACAGGCGCCAACTCGCAAAAGCACTCTTAAAATAGCCCCGAAAATTTTGCAATTGTAAAGTCAACGACAAACATACCGGGTAAAGTATAGGAAGATTTTTGGAGATCAAAGGTCGGGGAAGGGTGCATGCTCTGCTGAAACCAAGGTGACTATAACCAAAGCGTATATATAATATAAACGAGGCAACGGCGGCAACGCTCAGACAATGGACGCCATCTTGTGCCTATTGTTCTCGGCAATTTAGCACGGCGCCTATGAGAAGTTCCAACACAATTATTGAAACATACCTATTATTTTCACTAATATTATGGGTAGAAAATTTTTGAAGGTCGCGTTTTGAAGTAGAATCTTAGCCGAACATGCTTATATCCTTTCATGTTGGCCAAATTACATTTATAGTACATTAAATTGTCGTTGAAGACAAGTATACCGGTTCCGAGTTGCTTCCGAAGTAAATTGGCTATTCTAATCGTCATAATTAACCATTTGACAATGACGTTCCTTATGACGTCACAGATGAAAAGTTGTATTTATTCGTCGAAATTACCGGCCGACCCAGCTTTGCTTCAATGGCCGTTTCTATTTTCTGGTTAACATTTTTCGTCTGTCAAGCTCCATAATGCCTTACTGCTCGGCTTCAAGCTGCGCTTGAAGAACAAATGACATTGTAGGATTGTTGCGGAGACATTTTACTGCCTCAAATTAGCGTATCACTATAAAATCTTTGAAAAAATGACCAAAAATGGTTCTACGCTGTGTTTGGGGTCAAATTTAACGCATTAGATAGTTTTTTATTCTTAATTGCGTTTTATATTTAGATAGCATATATCTTAAAGTTCAAAATCCACCCATCGTTTTCATTCTAGCCCTTATAACAGCGGACTTATTCAATTCGGTACAACAGCACGACGAAAATTTCCCATAAGACTCCATTGTTTCGCGTTTCCCAAATATGGCGACCATGAACTTGTTTAACATTAGGCAAGTTGGTTGCCGGCCGTTGACTATAACACAAGTGAGGACAACCATTGGTAACGTTATAAGCGCTTGTGTGACGTCACACCCGCCATTTTGGGTCCAGAGTTCTATCCAGCGTTGCCATATTGGCATTTTTAACGCCAAATTTGCCATTTTTCAAACGCGTTTGGCGTCAGAATTTCCGTTTAGCTTTTTAACGTTTTTTCAAGTATATTCTAGTGTCTATTATTAAAATTAAATGAAATACAATATTTAGTGTGTAACAACTGAACAATAGCCTATTACCTGTACTTAGCTACTTAACATTAGGATTTCCTGGAGCATCGATTTCTTTGTTTGTTACATTAACTCTTAACCATACCCAATAAAAAAAATAATTGCAGTTTCTGCAGCTGCTCAGACAGACGTCCAAGCAGGGTTGTGAACATTGCCTCGTTGTTATAGTTTTGCGTGTTATTTGTCAGTTTTACGTTCTGTTTCCAAAAAATAGTTGTATAACATATATTTAATTATGCCTGATATGGTTTATGTGAGCTTTAGAGTTTAATTCTGCAATTGCAGTAACGATGTGAATAACTACGCTAAAATTACTGAATTAGATATCAGTGGTCCACCTGTGAGCGGCAGGGGGTTAGATAATTTTTTAATAAAATTGATGGTTTATAAATTTTATAAGTACGATATACAGATATAAGGAGAATTTTTTAAGGTATATCACAAGTTTAAGTAGAAACATGTAGGTATATTACATACTGACAGACTGGAGCGACACCCTGTATTGTATATATTGAATGGTAAAATAATGCTGTCCGCTTGATAGTTATTTTACTTTCTACAGATCTACAGGAACTTTACTTTCTATTTGTGTGCCTCACTGAATGAACTGATGGCTCTACATCATCATCATCAGTACGTTGCCAAGGGCTTAAAATCTGACAAATCATGGGGCTTTTGTACTTAAAATAAAATTGTAAAATTGTTGGCTTTTTCTGTGTCTTGATTTGGCTTTTTTTGATCGCTGGGGTCTGGCAACCCTGGTTCTATCGCTGTATGAACCTAACTGAGTAATTTAAACCTGCGATCTGCGATCGTTAAACAGTTGAATAAAAAAAAAACGATGCTCAATAATTCGGACCAAACATTCGCAGCAGCAAAACGAATGAACATTCTTCTGAAAATTCTTCTTAATTTTCCGCAGATGTTTCTCAGATAACTCGGCTCGGCGGTATGGTCAGCATATACGAAGTTAAGGTTAAAGTCATCCAACTTAACTCGATAAATCAACACCCAATAAGACCAAAAATAATAAACAAAGAGATACCCATTTTATTATAAGAGTTCCTGATGTAAGTATCGCTAATTGCACAGAACTTTATTTAACAAACTGACAGAACTACAATACAAATTACACTACAAAAACTCGTAACTATTTGTGCATGATAAATTTCAACACGCTATACATCACCAAAATATATTAAAAAAATATACTACATGCATGGAATGGAGGATAACGGTATATATGTCAAGGTTACAAGAACATCTAATAATCTGGAGTGTATAAAATAATATATATTATCTATGTGACTTAAGCTCTTGCTGCAGTTTTATTAGCTTTTGTTTTTCAATAATTTTATTTGCCATCTCTTTTGCGTGAATATTCAACTTTATATTAAGAAAACGTTTCCAAATTTTAAAAGCGACACTGTGGCAAGATGGGAAATTATATTTCAAGCAGTCAACTTCGTCTGTCACAAAAGTAACGAGGCGAGCATATATTATGAAAGGCATTAATATTGGCGCGAAATATAGTTTCTACTTAGCGCAAAAATACGATTGCCGAAAAAGAGTTAAGTAACGATTGATTAAACATAGATAATACTTCCTAAAAAACAAGGCCATGATATATACGTTTGGTATCTGACTATGGGACGTAACTAAATGGCCAAAACAATAAATTTGAACTCGTTTGAACGTCTCTATAGGGTTCTGCCAGAAACACAAAGGCTAATTTTTCACTGTTGGATATCATTAAAATTACAATTAAGTTTTATCAATAAGAACGTGGAAGACATGAGGCGTTGCTAGATCACCTTGTAAATATTTTACATGTTCCGACGCAAAAGAATCGAAATATCCTGCCAAAAAGTTGATAAGTGCTGTAACACCAGTCGCGGCGACTGGTCTTCAAATTTTGTACGTTATAATGTACAACTTGTACGCTTCGATGAAATTTATTAGGCCGCACAATGGGCAAGCCATGAGACCATTCTATAATTTTTGGAGCAACTGTTGCAACAGCTTGTTAAATCAAGAAAAATTTCCCCGAAAAAATTCAGACATTTCATCAGCTTCTGGAATGATTAATGCAAAACGCAGGCTTTAAACGTTTGGCATGGTGTGAACAGGTATCACGATACTAGTTCAAATAATATCTGCTTCAGACGTATGTTTTGGATCAGGGGTCTCCAACTCAAAATACGTCACGGGCCACTTTTTTAAATTTATCGACGACGCGGGCCACAAACCAACAAATTAAGTACAAAATTGATACACAAAAAATAAAACGAAATCTGAATATATTTGTTAAAATTATACTTGAATCTTACACAAAACGAGACAAGAAACATATTCATTTACTTGTTCTGGATATTTGGCACCGTTTTGTGGCGATGAGAGACTCGATGTTACGTTGGTTTGCTAGTCCTGAGACAGCATGTAAACGCTCGTCTGTTAGCCGTGAGCTGATTTGTTAACTTTAATTGTTGAAACAAAATAATGCTGCAATTACCTCCCAGGCCTTCAACATAAACCCCTTAATAAAGCTTCTTTCAACGAAAGAACGCGAATATTTCGCAACCATCTCACTTATGGAAAAGCTTGCTTTCACTGAAGCTTCACAAGGTTTGTTAATTCTGAAAAAAATTCTCTGTTTCATCAGCGAAGATTTTAATTGCGATGCCTTCTCGTGACGAATTGTTTCAGTATAGAGATGGTGTTTTCCCCCTGTGTAATGGGTCGTTATGTCATCGAACGTTGTGTTCCTTTCGAACAGCAATAATT